CGTATAAAGTATTCCATCCATTTCCGACACACAGGCTGCCGCTGCTCTTATCATTTCTGATCTCAGCACATATGACCGTCTTCTTCCCACTGGAACCGATATGACCATCCCCCCCCCTCGTCGATCATTCCTCAACGCATGCTTAACCCTGATCCTATCCTCTCTCCCGATGCACACCTACCTCCAAGCCTCTCTTCTACACTGCCGACGTGGCTACATTACTCAGATTACTTCTATAGCGAGGCAGTCACCTTCCGAAATCAATGCTCAAGAACGAATCGTCCTTCTCACTTTCAGGGCGTCCAGCTTGGGGTGCATACCCGGACAGTATTGTCCAGTACCCGCCCAACGATGATTTTCGTTTCGTGTCGTTGGTCCTTTTCACAGCAGAGGCATAGCCCTTGAGCGACTCCGCTACCGCTATGGCCACGCCGTTCCGCTTGGTGTCTTCTCCATTGTAGTAGAGTTTGACACCTTCCCCGATTTCCCTGGCCTTAGCACCTTTCCATCGCGTCTCCTGAAGGCATAGGACTTGGATGTTCCTGCGCGTCATCAGATCAGCAACCTCTCGGGACTTCCCAGTTAGCGATCCTACATTTAGAGTTTTTTCTTCGGTAAAGGACTCTCATTCCTCGGTAGCGGGCATGGTTATGCCCCAGCAGGGATCGAATCGCGGCTTCCAAAGATGCAGATATGAGCCTACACTCTTGACCCCTAGGCTACCCCTGCCCTCCGAAAGGGAAAAGTAACGTGTAGAAAAGTGTTTCATTCGCAGTCTTAGTTCACAACTACAACACTGAAGTCTTCAGGAATATTTTAACCAGCCGGAAAATCCGAGCCTGAACCTACTAAATCCCAAGCTCCCCTCAGCTTCTGAAAATATACCTGAATTTGAACAATGAAATGCTCGCTTCGAGAGAAGCAGACTATGTGACTACTGACCCCCGTCCCCTCCCCCTAAATTCAATCAGCAAGAGCGCTACTACGTCGCCGCTCGACACAACCGTAAGCATAATTGCAGCCCAGGCCCCAGCGCATTCAGAACTTCCACTGACTTATAAAGAGTTATTATTGTTATTTTTGTGACTTTCATTTCGTTCACTTCGTCGTTTCATTCATTCCTTTTCCATTTCTCTCTCATTCGGTAATTTCCTCAGTATATGCTTTTCTAGGGAGAGAGGCTGTATCAAGACCCCCATAAGAAGGGGGACGGGGTCGTAAAAATTCAGAAACTGCACAGACGCGACGGTTGACCCTGTTTGGAACCCACGATAGGTGCCGGCGGTAAACACGCTCCAGTTACATTACTGCGACCCAATCGTTTTGGCGATGTTTTTAATCCGAGCGGTGTGTGCTTCTAAATAAATTTGAAAGTTCGTCATAGTCATAGTCGAATATTTGTATTCATTCTTCATTGATGAAGAGAGTTCATTGCGTTTCATTGAAATAAATCTTGATTCACTTTCTGATTGATTCACAGGAAGTAAGGCATTAGGAAATAAACGGTAGCCGGAGCACTAATATGATGCAGCTTTCTTGATCTTTCATTTAATCGCTTTCAAACCTGTTTAAATTCAAAACTGAAGGGAAAAGCATCTTCGCAAGGCACTCCTATTTCTCAGCTTCTCCTTCGCAACTTTTCCTCATTACAGAGATTTGTTTACATGATTGAAACGCCGCACTCATGCTTCATTCATCAACATCGTCAGTATTGTCCCGCTTTGTATTTGTCCTGATATGATTGACATAAAACATTTCACCGCTACGCTTTGCTCTTTCTTTTTTTTACGATTCTAAATCATTTTTTACAGCATACATTTACTCCCTGCAGTTCTCCTTTCTGTAAAATTCCTCGACCTGCTTTTTCAAGTAATTTCTTGAGGTACGCTTGCCGCGTAATCTATTATATTTAAGAGCTCTTTTGAACTTAATTTGGCGAACCTACATTAACCTTTTGTATTGTGCCTTAGGCTTTTGAAAAAAATTTCATATAAAGAATAAGAATCATTAGTGAGATGCCTTTACGTGGGAAATGGGAAAACATCTTTGATTGAATGTTGTGTATCCCACATCGCACAATGGGTTCAATTTGTTCTTGTTCTTTATATCCTTGCTTCTTCTTTTCTGTTTCGTCATATTTCAGTCTTTTCAGTATTATGGTTTGAGAGAGAACTAGTCAAATCTGAGGACTGCGATGCTACATCATTACCAATCACCGCACTCTGTATAGTTTCTGATAAAAATAAGTGCCCGAAAGGATTTACGCCGGTATGTTTTGATATATTCGTCCTTCCTACGCTCTTATTTCTTCTTCTTTTTTGCCGAACCCATTCGAAACTCTTCGTAGATGCTTTAAATGTAAAAAACGTCTGACAATGAGTATGAGTCATAGTCTTTTGCCGCGCTTATTTTTACTGTCCAAAATTTCAAAAGAGTGTACAAGCTTCATCTGGACATCGGACGTCACCCGGGTTCTAGGTGGCTTCGGCCTCATTGGACATCAGACTTTATTCGTGGCGCGAATGCCCGGAAAAGCTGACGCCTATCTTAGCTCGGATTCATACTTTGCGTAGGGTGGAATGTGCAGATAGAAATAGCCTCAGTCTGGGATGTTTGGTAGTGACTGGAGAGCCATTCTTAACCAGATTGACGGACTACTTGAACCCGGTCCTTTAAGCCGCCTCAGATCCTCTCTCGTCTGCGCTCTCGCACCTTAAGGCCGATGTCAGACTTTGCGAATCGCGCGATTCGCTAGCGTCTGCGGTCGCGTCGCGGCCAGTGAATCACTCAATTGGCTGGTACCGCAACGCGACCGCGGACGCTAGCGAATCGCGCGATTCGCAAAGTCTGACATCGGCCTATCACCGGCTTATGGCCATTGTGATCTTACACACATTCAAACTTTTGCCACACTGTAGTTGGCTCACCCACCTCGAAGTCCGTCCCTCCTACAAGGCTTAGTCCTGGAGCAATCCAAGCCTTGGCTCGGCTCCAAATCCCAGGGAAGGAGGTGAGGACCCTCAACCTGCCGTTTCCCTATTTGGAGCCAAGAGGCGCCGTTCTCTTGCTGTCTGTGCCCTCCGCCATTCGTGGCAGGACCATGGAAGAAAGTTCAAAGTAGTCCGCAAACCCCTTAACTGCTGACGCTATTCGCACATTCCGCGTTGTCCGCCTTCTGGATTCTTGTCAGATTTGGCTGTTCACGGATAATTCACAGTCTCATTCTGAAAACACATAGTAACCTTACCAATCCTATGTATTCCTAAACATATGGAAACATACGGTAAGTTATATTATTTTGCTGCAGTAATGGACTACTGTTGTTTGAGGCGTGAAGCGGGGATAATTAGTGGACAGTCCTTGAAGATATCATTCATCACTCACATGGGACTGGCAAGTTGCCTCATAAGCTCAACTTTCTGTATGGGCGTTATCATAGTAGGTAGTCCGGCGTGACGATCGCGCTGCATCAGATACGTATCGATCACCCATTGGACCGAGTGATCGATACGTATCTAATCTAAGCTGTGCGATCGTGATTGGATGACCGATCGAAGCTCCGCAACAGAATGAATACAGTTACTATCATTAAAGATCACCCGGTGTCATGATGATGGAACCGACGCAGATTTATGGCGTGAGAGTGCGTTTTCTCTCTGGTCACGACCAGTGCGATACTTAGCGATCAGCCGTGAAGTGCCAGAAGCGACAATCAGAGTAAGCCACGATAAATTCTTTATGTTCTCTCTTTGCTTGTTCTTTTTTATTCTCTATTTTCGTAAACTAGGAAACCATCATATTCAATGTTTCGAGAGATCAAAGATTAGGCATAGTAGATGTGGAGGCGCTATCGCAAGATACGCGGACATCCTCTAGAGCTAAGCATTGGAAGGGGCATCAACATTAGAGAAAATTAAAACTGCTCATGCACCTAGGAGTCTCTCCTCCTTCCTCATTCTGAGGCGTAGTCCCGTTTTGAACAAAAGGGTGACGTTTCACACTCCTAAACTATCAGGCGATTCAATCAAAAAGGCGTGATACTTGATGGCTGGGAAAATAGTGGGAGGAATCCAGTCAGATCAGTGATAAGAATACTCATTCAAACTAGTCAGTACGCGTTTAGTCTTCGCAATAGACCTCTGGCCTCTTACGGAGGAAGGTCTTTCAGGAAATGCCAACTTTCTCAAAACGGTTTTTTGCATGATATAGGGGTACATGCATGGAACACAGAACTGTAGTTCATTTTTCCTGAGCGGCCCTCTGAATACCAAAAAAGGGGTGATGAAGTGGTCCGTGGTTCGAATCCTCGCAGTGACAATTTTTGCATTTTGTGTTGGCGTTTCAAAATTCGCGAAAAATAGCGTCAGCGTAAACAACTTATGTCATATCTATAATTAGGACCATCAGCAACCTTATAGACTTTGGCCAAAAACTGGTAAAGAAAGTAAGAACGGCAGTTCTTCAAGAAACTTTTCTTCGCCATTTTTCCTGAGGGTCGCTCAGGAAAAATGAACCACAGTTCTGTGTTCCATGCACGTACCTCTATCATGCAAAAAACCGTTTCGAGAAAGCTTATCATTTCCTGGAAGACCTTCCTCGTTAGTCTTTCAATCAATACATATCCTTTTTTATCCCTTTAGATCCTATCTCCTATATTGTAGGAGCAGAGCATAAACGCGGCCGAAGCGTCAACTCTCATCTGCATCTCACTACGCATTATAATGCCTAACATTGCATTCTAGGGAACTGTCTCCGTTGTGACTGATATCACTGTAGTAAAGGACACAGATCCCATACCTCATGGATTTATTGCAATTGACTACTGTGCTGATTCTCGTGAGTTGAAGCTTATTGATTTATACTAACTTTTCTTGACGATGCTACAAGGTCCGCTTTGAAAACCATTATCTACAATATTCAAATTTCTTCTTTCGTTTTGATACTGTTATTGGTTGTTATTTGATCCCGATAAGCTTAACTTTATGTCTCATTCTTGAAACTATGTCATAACTATGGTGACTGTGATTTGTAGCCCATACAAACTGCCACTGTGTTGGCCACTATGGACAGTTTTGAAATATGAATAAATCCAATTAGGTCATAGAAAACTTGTCTCCCTTGTGTAAAAGTGTGCCCACTCTGGGTTGCGCAGTCGTTACTGTGTTGAAACAGTCTAATGGACCCGATATTCGTAGATGTCGAAAAAAGAACAATGGTCATTAAAGCCATGGAAAATGTGTGTGATCCAATTTTTTCTCTTTGTAACTTGTTAACCATTTAAAAAGGATAATTGCGAAGTCAAATAAAATTGGGATTGAGTAGAATGAGGCTGGAATCATGTGATCAGCTTTATGGCTCTCAATTCGATTTTAGCGCCACCACAACAACCACAAATTCTTCATCAACAAAATGTGGGATAACTTTACTTTCCTCTCCAACGGGAATTGTAGTAGTGTATACGTTTGTAATACCACCGTATATAGTTTACGAATTTTTATTCCTCTGCAACAACTACCTTTCTTGTCATTTGGAAAACGTTGAGTGAAAATAATGAGCTAGCTGTTGTATCCAGTTCAAAACCCCTTATTTCTTAGGTGAGAAGTCGCTGCGAAAGCGTTTTATCTGCGTGAAAACAGAACCACGTGACTCTGTGGTAGATGCAGTAGGAGAGGTGATCATCCTTAATAAACAGAAGAAGACTCCGCGAGATTTCACACTGGCCGGGTTCGTTTGCAATCTTTTCGTCTTACACTTCTCTCCTCATGCTTTTTTACAAGCAGCTCCGTTGATTTCAAAATTTTATGCTGTTTCCTTTCTCCATTTTACGAACATACAACATACATACTTTGGCCTTACAGTGAAATAGATGGCGCCGCTCTTTGTTTCCGTGTCGTTGTGGTTCCTCCTGCATTCGGACTGAAGCACAGTGCAAGGTAGCGTGGACTGTATTGTCTGAGTTCTTCTTAGCTTTCAAAAGATGAGAATTCTTTCATTGAAGCGATCGTGGCTTGTCAACTAACGCTGGGAAGCCTTTGCCACCTCCTCCTATTGGACTCTATCCACAACTTGGCCAGTCTGGATCAACACCGTCGAAGCTAAATCAACAACCAGATGTAAATACGTTTACGATCAAGGTGCCGTTGTGTGGTTTTTCCATCCTATGTTTAGTAGATGTCTCACCTTTCTTTCGCACCTTTAATTTATTAGCTATTTCATTAGAATTTTCACCATCAAGTAGCAACTTTCGAATCCATTATTGGAACCAGAAGAAAAACTTATAGTTCTATGGATCGTTCGCACAGCTTCATATAAAAGCGATGCCAAATTATGCGCACGAGTGCAGTGCATAAGTGGGGTACCTTTCTTCTGTAGACATCATTCAGACCTTTGAGACGACACAGTGGTCACTATGTTTACCCATACAGACAGGTGTTATCTTTAAATCTCCCATGAAATTGAAAACCTGATGGCCTCGAGATATTCGATCCGGGATTTTACCGTCACACTGTTCGCATGGTTTGCAGTACCACATGCCACTAGACCATTTCCTCCCTGCGCTCACTATAAAAACAGGTCATATTTTGCGTAATCTGTTCCAATTTACTTGACGTAAACCCATTTGCACCGTAACAGAGAGCTCGTAATTGTATGTGGGGTGAAAAATCACCAACTTGTGTGGATTTGCTAACTTGATGTTTTTCCTTTGCGTGATGCCTTTGCAGATCCCTTTTAGTGAAACGAGTCTTAGTGGTACAATCAACATCTAGTAGGTTTTCTTCTGAATCATAATAAAAAGCCAGACTGGGACTAAAAGGGTCAAGCAGCAGCACCAGGGACCTATTGTTGCTCAGTGATTGATTGGTCCGTTTACAGCGTTCACTTATGCGTCTTTAGAAATTTTTTGAGTGTCATTCTGACTGTTGTGGTAAACTGTTGTTCTCAAATATTTGTTGCATGAATTGTGATCTATTATAGACCTAGAGCATCATAATTTTTTCTTCAATATGAGCGATTTAGAATCCTGGTATTGCAAAAGTTCGTGGAGAGGATGGCGTTCCGTTTAAGCTCAATCCTCAGCTTGCCGCTAAATTGAAAACGCCTGTAGTGAGTCCAGTTTTTCTTTTGTACAAAGTGTTTAAGAGTTTGAAAAGGCTTACTTTGATTTGGCTCCCAGATTTACTACATATTTAGATTTGATTTATTTATTCCATACCTTATTACCGGAAATTGTTAACAGATGCGAATGAATTTTATAGTGTGGCCCTTTCTACGCACATTAGCCCAGCACCTTTAATGTTTCAATGATCTGTTCCTATACAAGGCCTCTACCTAAAGGCAAGATTCGGGATAAAATAGGTGTGGAAAAGCGTTCAGTTATGAAGCTAGGTGGGAGGTGGTCTGGAAAAGAGAAGGAAAGCAAACGAAACCACCGATTACGCCCCGCACAGAGACCTCCCCTATTTCAGCCGCATTCCACCTTGGGATAGAGAAGGGGCGCGTTGGACGAGTTTCACGAACCTAACTCTAGTTGCTCCAGTGCCAATGACATTGGGTCGCAATGGGACCGCTGCCTCAAATGCGCCCGCGCTTTTCAAGCAGCGCCACGTGGCAACCGACAGCGGAGGGTGGGGCTTGCGGACGAAGGTGTGAGTTGCGGGTTGGACGAGCTCCTTGCGCCTTTGTCGCGCACTTTCAAGCCGGCAAAAGGGGCGCGACATCAACGCTTGTCCGCCTGTCTACTACCCGGGATGGAACAGGCGAGCGCGCCTAATCCCGGAAAGTGCCTTTAAGGTCGCGCTTTACTGATTTCATCCCATATGTGGTTTGCGGGTATCCGTCAGATAAATCCTGTTCTGCTAATGACATTGTAGACTACCGGCCATCAGAGTCAAAATGGATGCGCCTTACCCCCTTTCAGTGATTCTTAAACCTCAGCAATTTCTGGGTACCGGGTTATTTGGCCCACAGTGTCTGGAAGGTGGACCCGGTAGCCTTTTTGTCTCCTTAAGGAATTCATTGGTATTTGGGATGGACTGTGACTAAGGTGGCTTAATCATTTGCAAACACTTGGCATCATGATAGCTTGCTATGCTTTCAATTTTTGTGCGACTAGGTTGATGGATGGTGGCCGCGCATTGGAGGGGTTGCCTTGAGAAGTTCCATCACCTCACCTGCCGGTCATACGCCTAGCACCTGATCGGTTCGCTATGGCAAGATATAGGGGGCATCCTCTAAGACTAAGCCGTAGTAGGGTCAGGAAGCTTGGAGAAAATGAAGCAGCATTAGTCATGAGTTCAACAAAAAGCAGATGTCAGCGCAAAGCAGCGTTATGTTGCCATAGGGCCCTGATCGGTGAATGGTTGCTGTTGTTATTTCACGGACCAAAACAGTTCCCTCTGCGCGAGCTCACAGGTTCTGGGAGGGCGCAGTGGGGGGATAATCGCCAGAACAGAACGCAAGTTCATCGCTTTTTGCATCGTAAAGCTATTTTCGCTGCAGGAACCTCAGGTTCACCCCGTTCTCTGTGGACCTGGAGTTCCCGTAGCGAGAAAAGCTTCGCGCTGCGAATAGCGAAAAAGTCGCGTTCAGTCCTAGCGACACACACCCGCGGAGATATTTTGTTTTCATCCGTGCTTTACATCTGCGGCCGTAATTTTTTTTTGAATTTTACATGGATATTAATCTCAATTGATTTTCCATTTTCAATTTTATGTTCCACCTCCATCTTCTTTCAGCTGGACTCTCCCTCCGACCCAACGATTGGGTTTGACATTCGCCGACTTGATTCGGACGAATTCAGTTATTCATTTACTTTGGAACGTGCTACGCTTGGCAACATGCCGTGAGCAGCTATTTTCTTGTGCAGGTGCCCGCCATCGCAATTATAAGGCTTTCGTCTTCCGTAACTTTCGCGAGTCTCTTTTTCGCTTCTATCAAAATTGTATATAGTTTATTTACTCAAAGTTCTCATTGCTGTGTTGTGTACCGGTAAGGGCATTACCTTAATGTAAGATAAATTTGTCTAAACGATTGAAAATTGCATTCGTTGCATAAATCATTTTGGGCGATATCATTATTCTAGGCTTATATTAAAAAATTTCTTTTTTTGAAATTTTTTTAGCATGCCTACTCTGCAAAAATGTACTTTTTTCAAATCTTACTGCCTATGCTTGGCAACCAGTCATTAATCCCTTTGTAATTATGGTTCTTTCACTATGATTGAATAATAAAGATATTTTATGATATTCGTTAACCATGGTCAGTGTGTTGTCATTGCTTGCCCACGAACCGACAAGTCTCATGGGTGGCTGTTTTATTGGGAATGGCGAGGCGTGTTTGTCAAAGCATTAAGGTAGTGTAGGAAATGGTTCTCTGCATTTATCGGAATTGTTACCATGCGATGAAAATGTGGAAGAACCGTGTGCAACGCGCTGTTCTCTAATCAGCTTACCACGTTGACGACATCGCGCGTTTTGGGTTTTTGCACCGCGTGGGACAAGGGCGCTTTTGCGAGCGCGGCCGTCACACCTCACACCCGTAAATTTCGAACGATAACCTTGGGAAGCTTCAAAGGTACGAAACCATTTCAGCAATATTCAATGCGTAGAAAGTAATCGAAGATATAGTAGCGAAATTCCGATCAAAAAACGTGAAATGGTAAAGAAAATTGGAATTTAAGTCCTTTTCTCTGTAGTGGATGCCAAAACTATTTTCGATGTGGATGTGTCAAGTGAAACATATATCTTTCTATCCCTTTAAGTTTGTATTTACTTTCACTACCCTTTCTCACTGACATGTTCATCAGAATAGGAAGAAAACGAGGATGAACCGAGCCGCTAATTCCGCTGTGCTTAACACGTTGACGACCGTGTGCTGTGATGTCATACCACACTTTAAAGGCAGAAGTCGGGCTCAATAAAGGGGTATTGTGGCTATTGAAACTGAGTATAGAGATGCGGAGGAGCTGAACTTCGGCTTGCTTCCTCAGGATGGCGCCGTTGCTGCTCTTAACACTCTTCACCACCCTGATATCTTGAGTAGCCCGATGCCGGGCTTTGGCCAGTCTGAAGACGAACTTCTCTGCGTTTCTGCTTTCCAACTTCTCGTACAAGGCGTCCATCTCCGTGTTCTTCGCCTTGGCGACGGCAGCCTTAGCGAGCCTCTTGCAACTCTTGTAGGTAGCGAGGTCTTCGGGGCTCCGGGTCTTCTGCCAGCAGCTTGTATGCTTCCTTCTTCTGCTTCACGACTCGCTGGACCTCCTCGTTCCAGAACCACGCTGCCTTGTCTCCTCTGAATCCACCTCGCGTCTCTCCCAGTACCTCCTTGGCGCATCGTAGGATGATCTCAGCTGCAGTGCCCCAAGTCTGCTGCACTGGTCCCTCAGGATCTGGGAGACCAACTTCCATTATCCTTCGCTTGAGGTCACTCTTCTCTGCACGGTGCAACTTCCACCACCGGATTCTCCTCTCGGTTCTTACCTTTGTCTTCTTGGGGAGCTCCATGGCTATGTCTGCCAAGGAGTGGCTTGTGCTGGGAAGCCAGCTCTTCGCCAGGGAGTACCTTGACGTCCTTCACAGTTCTGAGGGATGATCTCCTTACGAGCACATGTCGATTTCCGTGTGTCTCCTCCACTGCTGTAGGTGACCTTCTGAGTCTCCCTTTTCGCGAAGAACGTGCTGCAGATTGCCAGATCGTGGGCAGTAGCCAGGTCCAGGACCCTCTCTCCCTCGGCGTTCCTCACTCCTATTCCTCTACCTCCGTGCACCCTTTCAAGACCTCTTCTGTCGCTGCCGACGTGCCCATTCAGATCACCTGCTATGGTGAGGTAGTCACCTTCCGGAATCGTTCTGATGGCATCGTCAAGGCTGAGATAGAACTCGTCCTTGTCACTTTCGGGGCATCCGGCTTGCGGTGCGTACACGGAGAGTATGGTCCAGTACCCCTCCTTCGTGTCTATCCTCACAGCCATGATCCGATCGCTGATCCTGTTCACAGCGGAGACATAGTCCTTGAGCGACTCCGCTACCGCTATGGCCACACCGTTCCGCTTGGTGTCTTCTCCATTGTAGTAGAGCTTGACACCTTCCCCGATTTCCCTGGCCTTAGCACCTTTCCATCGCGTCTCCTGAAGGCATAGGACTTGGATATTCCTGCGCGTCATCAGATCAGCAACCTCTCGGGACTTCCCAGTTAGCGATCCTACGTTTAGAGTCCCTATTCGAACTAGCTTCTTTGGCCGAGGCCGTTCCTCCTCGGTAGCCCTCGCATACTGACCACAGAACTCGGGCGGGGGTTCTGCGCGCCACTTCCGGGTGACGTCCTAGCATTAACACTGATTCTTTTGCGACTTTTAGACATGTTGGTGTGACTGGGGTGTTCATCAGCCGGCCTGTCAACCTGGGCCTGACGCTGGTACTAGAACCATTTTTGCAATTTTTGCAAGGCATGGTTAACCTCGGCAGGGATCGAACTCGCGGTTTTCAGAGGTGCAGACATGAGTCTAACCTCTTAACCACTCGGCTATCCCTGCCTCAATGCAACGCCTCTACCATTGTTCGCGATGGAAGTGGAGTGTATGGCAAGCCATCCGAAACTAGCCTGGAACTAAATACAAGACTGGTGACCTCTAAAAGTGACAGAATTACTCAGCCCCTCTCTTTGATGAGTCTTTTCCCTCCCTATTAACGATGCATATATCAACGAATTTGACAAGCAGAAGACGACTCCACCCCCAACTTCCTTATCTTCATTGTTGTCCTCTAGAATTCCTTTGATCGCCGCTTTCTTACGCCAAAACATCGAGTATTACTCACACAGTTTTCGCTGTTGTTATACATGACACATTTCTTTTAAAACCACCATCCCCGCCTTACCAAATAACATCAGTGATGGAACTGTTTTTAGTGCCCCTCGCTTTGCTTCAAATCTTTCCTTGAAAATGACACTTTCACAGATAAGCTTCATTGACACTACTCTCTTGACATTGTCTCTGTGCTGCAATTGTTTCCTCCTCTTCCCAAAAATATTTTTGAAGCTGACATAATGTTATTGATGTGAGGAATGGACTGGACGATGTAGAGCGAATGAACCGTTCATGCTAGAACATTTTTGAAAGAGGAACACCAACGTGTCTCATGTGCTAGCGGTCACTCTGGTAACGGCCATTCATGTAGAAATTTGGCTGACATACGCAGAATTTGACTGGGATTTAATCCGCGGATCATACCCGCGGTAGCGACTTACAAATTTTATCCCTCATTTTGGTCCAAATGCAAAGTTTTTGAATCACTCATTATCAATTGATTACCACGTGAAATTGCAGAAGTTACATTATAACAAACGCATTAGAAATATCTGGAACCACTTTTCTGAACAGTCTGGCAAGCACTATTCATGAGAAACGATAGAAACCAAGCCTAGTTTAGGCAGAAGTTTCAAACGTGGGGTGGCGATTGCCACGTGGCGCCGCAAGCAGTCCATGTCTACAGGGGTGGCCAAAAAAAAGAGACACTTCACTCCACATTTCAGACAGCATTAATCGCACTTTGCTAGAATCAAATCGACTGACCCTAACTTATTATTAAAGAGCACATTCTAATCTATCTAAACCTTACATGACAGCCTTCTACACCGACGACATCAGAAGATTTTCCCACGGAAACATGGTTCGCGATACGAGCTCAACGAGGTCGTCGAGGTACCATAGACCATTACGACGTCCCTGGAAACTAGTCAAAAGCGGTTTTGCATAGTCACAGCTGATGTCTCTAAGAAGCTATTGAACAGTAAAACCACTGCAGAAATTATGAAGCAGCTTCAGGCTGGAGCGATTACCATAAGCCTCGTTGAGCTCGACGGTGGCGGCAGATGACGTCTATATTCTAATGACAGCGGCGGCACCGAAGGAGGGCCTGCTTCTGCTTACGGGAACACCTAAGGAATATTACGTCATAGAACTTACATTAGCATCGGCATCCTGTGCGACGAAAAGTTCGATGATGTGCACGATGAGAAAACGTTTTTTTTTTGGCCACCCTGTAAGGCCGATTGATGATTTCACGTCGAGAAGGATCACCAGTGATGCTTTCATGCTTTTAGTGCTATGTACGATACCATACCGAAAATTCGTAGGCGATCGAATATTTGCGTTGTTGCGCTTGAAAATAAAAAAAAAAAAACAAATGGTGCGAAGAGAGCGGCCTGTGGGAAAAACTAATCATAACAGGAACCATAAGACGCTTGAATCGAAGAAACTGCTTTCTTTTTGTGGTCGCCTGCCTTACACAGAAAGATACCAGAAAATGTAAGAGCACGTTGTACGAGAGGGAGTAGACGTCGCCCATGCTGAGTCGCAACAGTCGATGCAATGCCTTATCGCCTTTATAGCACACGTTCGGGTCTAGATAGTGTCAGGACCTCTAAGCTATGGAACCAACTAGCTCACTATAAGAGAGAATTGCGCTAAAGGTATAATGACCCTCGTATTTGGATAGAATGATTGGATTGTTAGGAGGTCTCATTTTTCGCTGAAAGAAGGAACAAAATTGTGCCAAAGTGAAACATTGTCAAGTACGCCCCACAGAAAGCCGGGGCTCGTTGAAAGATCATCTTAGTGATTTTTTTACGTATAGCAATCCTATCCTATATTTCTCCTCCAGATTTGACTACTATTTATTATTAAGCAATGGCTGAAAGGGTGTAAGTGTAAGTGGCACCAATACTGCGAGCGCAGTACGGGGACCGAATCCTGGATCGTGCTTCGCCCAGGCCAACCAAGCCTTCCATCCCTCCGGCGTCGGTTGGTACCAGAATTGTCTGAGAGGATAAAAACACTGGCTTGAACATCGCTACCCCAAAACTTATTATTTAAGCCACTCGATCAATACTCCGCTTAGCATTACAAACTTGAGTACAGGGTGGCCAAAATCTCGGAGACAAGTATTGATCGTCTTGAATCGAAATCTTCACAATTCTTTGACGAACTTATAATACAACAATGTTTATTGTTCACTTCTATAATTCAAACAATCAATGGATCTCGAAAATCCCTCCGTTGGCTGTGACGCAAGCCTTCAGACGCTGAGGGAAAGCATCGACGGTGGCACGCAAGTATGGCGCGTCGAGCTGGTCCCATGTCTTCTGGAGAGCTTTCTTCAGCGAATTCTACAGAGCGATGAGGTTTCGAGCAAGCCTTTGCTTCCAAAACGGACCAAACACTGTAGTCCATTGGATTCAGATCCGGAAGAGGAAGCTGGCCACTCGTCGAAGTTGATTCTCGGGGAATTGTTGCTTGCCCGCACTTTTCGTTTTGTTGGTTGACCACTACTCGCCTTGAGATGGGCTTCCGTCCTGCTGAAGTCCAAAGCGGCCCCGAATGAGAATTAGCCCATGAGTAGCAGTTTTGTCCTTTAAAGAGGTCTAGATAAATGTTGGATATTCTACTTTACTTCTCTTCAGGATACGAACACAGGGGTGTCTTGGCCGTCAAGCCGGTTTATCTCTGCAAAAACCATGACAGAAGCAGGGTGAGAAGAGCGGCTCACAGTCGCGTACGGGTTCGAGACAGCATAGACGCGGTCGTTCTGCTTGTTTACCACTTGTTCCACCGTGAACAGCTTCTCATCCGTGAAGAGAATTTTTGAATGTCGTCCGGCCGCAAATCTTCTGAGCAGCTGCTTTGATCGTTTCTTCCTCTTTTCCTTCTGAGCATCAGTGAGTTTTTGACACTTATTTTTCTTGTATGCCTTCAATCCCAGCTTGAGTAGAATTCTTCTCAGCGAAGTCTCCTTTATCTCCATTTCTCGCGACATTTGGCGAACTGACCGCTCCGGCTCTCTCCGAAATCTCTCACGCACCTTCCTTACATTACTCGTGGTAACCACGGAAGCACGTCTTCCTCTTCCGGACCGATCGGCTTCTGTTCCTAGCTCCCTGTAGCGTTTAATGGTCTTGTAGATGACACTGCGATGTACACCAAGACGCTGCTGGATTTCGCGTGCCGAAAGTCCTTGGACGTGAAGTTCGATGATTGCTGAACGGTAGCAGGATGGCTTAGCCATTGTAGTAATGATATGTTTTAGCGGTCAAACAGGATAAATAGGGCCACGTCAACATAAAAAAATAGGAGAAGCAGAGAAAGAGACAGTGATTTCAAAAAGCAGTTCAAATGGTGCGCGGAAGGTGCTGTCTCCGTAATTTTGGCGCACCCTGTAGAATGCGTGCCGCATCCCAAAAAGGGATTGATCAAGGGCGAATGCTTTATCCTTTATCCTAATCCTTGTTGAGGCAGCTTTAATGTATCGGGTATCCCATCCCAATGAGGCGTTCCGGATCCGTCACCTTCTTGTCGATGTTTCAGTAAACAATGTTCTTCCGAGTTGATCATAAGTGTCGATCGTATGGGTGATCTTTTCTAAAAAAGTTTCGAAGCGAGAATAGCACTCCTCAAGTTGTGGGTGCACCTCCAGAATCTTCAGGAGCAGCGAGCTCATCTCGTTGACCTTTTACCTGGCGCCCCTGGCAGAGGTTTAATTGTAAGCTTTGCGCATACCGTAAACATCGATATCGTAAGAAGTCTTCCGACTCCGGTCATCTTCGTGTTGGACACGCTAGCAGACTTTTCTTCTACAAAATCGAAGCTAACACTGTAAGTACCGATTGTTCTACTTTTGACAATGGTGTAAGTCATTCTGTAGTATCTCGTTGCTTTTAACGAGCTTCTGGACTTATCTAAGCAATCTTTAAAGAAGTGACTACAGAGTTCTCCTTCGCAATGTCAAGCCGCACAATAATTTCCGATTCATATAGATCCAAGTACACCTAATGTTACGGGCAAAAATTGCATAAAAAATCCAACACAAGATGTCAATGGTGAATAGCTTAGAGATGCGAATGCACGAGAAATTGCCCCAGAAGATGCCCGCACAACTTTTAGTCTTCACACATTCACGCCAATGGCCGCCCATTTGAGCTGGTACGATATCAGCCCATATAGACTGCCAACTGATAATCGCTTGCCAGGGTCGCTTGCCAGACGCTAGGAATGGCAAACTTGTATAGTGGCAATCTCGTAATCGAGTGTAAAATGCTTTTAAATTCCTTCACGGGGAAAGTGAATAAATGCTCTCTTTTCGTAACCACTATTTGTCGTTCTGATCGAAATCCTACTGTTATATGTTTAGATAATCTTTACGCATTGGACATTGCAGAAATTATTTTGTGACATTCATGTTTTTGTTCATTTACAAAACAAAATCTGCGGTTATGTGGTGAGGCGGCGGCGCCCACAAAATCGCGTCCGTCCCACGCGACCGAAAAGTGGAAAAGGGGCGTCGTCGTGAATGTGTTAAACACCTAGTCTTTCCTGCTTCTGAAGTGAATTTGAAGAAAAATTATTGTTGAACAGTGGTGTTTGACTACGTCACCGATCACCAATAAGTAGTGGCCTTACGTTGACTTTTCGGCGTTGAGGGCAGACTTCATGAGTTCAGTTTCATTGATTTTGAAATTTTATGCAGAGTGTTCATCACACCTGCAAAGTCCCTTGCGAAAGCGATCTGTTTAACAATCATGAGGCTGCGTTCACTTTTTGGCCCGGTTGTTTGCTTTGACTGTGCCTCTGCCCTTCATTCGTTCGATGTCCTGTTGGTAAATCTTTCAAAGCCATTGGCGAAATTTTTTAAATTTATCTCGATCTACGAAACACCATCCTGTTGTCCAGCTTTTTGAGCAGCGCCCATGTCCTGCTAGGAAGTCTTCGATCCGAGCTGAGATGTTCACCGCTAAACATTCCAGTGCTTCCACTTCTAGGAGTTTCAATTATTCGACGGAGCCTCATAGCAAAATGGCGGATACGCAAATCGCAAGATACGGGGATTGTTGTGGTAGTGTCTTTGAATCCGCGGAAGATTCTCCTATTTGTTAAAAGCGAGATTAAGGCTTAAACGGGGGAAGAATTTTTAGAGTGAATGTTCGTTTTACTCGAAGTTCCTGCCTCCTATTAGATTCAGTCATAAAGATGAACCAGAACTTGCCTCTGGGCAATATTTTACCCTCGCCTCCGGGGACGGGGAACGAAAATCCCTCTAAATTTATTCGTCTTTTTGACTATTCCTTACCTTCAGCATGTTTTGACTTTCACTTAAACAAATGCTCCCTCAATGAGCTCTCTTAAGGCATTTCTGGTCGGAAGGCGAGAATATGAAGGATTTTTGTTCCACTTTCTTTGAGGATGTCTAGCAAAACCCTTAAGCGCGCCAGGAAGTGATCCGAAAACTTACAGTCCCTTGGTCCAGCAGAGTAATAGTACTTTCTATTTTATTGAAAATAAAGATTGAGTTTAGCATTTTGGAAAGGCTTCAGGGAAACGGGAAAACGCTGCTTTAAGTTTCTTATTGTAGATTTGAATTTCCTAAGCTCAATCAAGAGTAAATCTTCGGCCTAGTGTCTTTTACCGTACTTTTTGCTTTACGTCTAGTATCATATGAAATCTTTTTCAAATGAATTCACGTTGAGTAATAAAGTCTATCAAGAATGTTAACGCATTTTTTTCAGATGCGTTTCCTATCGGTCATCATTGGTGTATTTCTTGTGCTTATGAGCAGCGTTATCACAGTAGTAAGTGACATATATGTTGGCATTAATAAGGCACGGAGAAATGGCAATTCGAAATGAAATGCGTATCATCCAATCTACTTCCGACGCTGATAGAGTACATAAGAGAGGGCGTACGTCATACGGCGTGTTCCCTGGCGTTGGAGCGCATGTGTAAATGCCACATCCTACCGTAACTGGAGAACTCATCGTGCACCATATTCCGTTCCACTTCTTGGCACCAGGCCAACACGAGCTATCCGTTTTTTGAAATGTTTGAGATTTAACGAGATTTTTGAAATTTACCCTCTACCAGATCAATCGATTGCTGATTCTCGTAATTCAGTAATGGAGACGAGTTGTCCATCAAAGCATGGTAGATGTCTACGCTGTAGGCTGATAATAAGCAGCCCATCTAATTGTATAAATTATCCAACGCTCATTCGGCTGCTAGACTTTCTCAGTTCTAGAAAATGGTGGATGTTTATTAGTATTGACGAACTATTAAAAATTAGTGCTTTATCACACGCTTCCTCAAAGGCAGACCCTGGGATCAGTCCGACTTGTGGGAAGGATACCGCGAAGGAAACTGAAAGGTCCCTACCTACCTAGATCACTCCAGCTCCGTCCAAAAGTTGCACAGTTAGGGCGCTAATCCTTACGGGCCTGCAACCGGCAACTTAGCGTGGTGTTGTTCTTGTGCGTTGCTTTGTCTCGATTCATCCGACGAGAAGGTCTTTTGCTTGGGAGTCGTTATCTGACCTGTTGCAACGCTTCTCATCTACTTCGATATCGGCGTGCTCTCTCGAACGGCGTGATCTCTTGCGTATTTTGTCTTCTTTGACTGCCCTGCCTCGCCATCAATCCACATCTGACCTTTTTGAGGATTAAGGTCCTTAAATCAACTCAAAATACACGACTCTCTTCAAAAAATCTTTTGCGTTTGATCACAGAGTCGCATACCAGTTGTAGTCAGCGTCAGAAGGCAATTGGACTGTATACATTCATTCAGGACCGACCATTTCAACCTCTCATCCCTCCCTCACTACTCATCCAGGATCAACCGCCCGTGCGCTCGATCCAGACGAAGATTTATTTTTGACTTTTGGGAGGGGGGTCGTAAGAAGTTGACGATGGTCAAAAAGTCGAACGGGGGAGGGGATGTACTTGTGGAAGTTGAAAGGGTGGTGGTTATGGGAGAGGGGTCGTAGAAATGTTGAAATTGACGGATCGCTACGGTTTATTTTCTCTTTAACCCTACTGCCTGCTATCACCAGTGGACAAGCACGCACGGTATTTTCGGGGATCCTGTGATTGGCTATGGCAATCGATCCACCACTCACACGCATCTTCGCCCCTGGTGCAGATCAAAGTTCACAGCATGCATTTGGGTTGACGGTACCATGAATTTCATCAGCTAATCTTTTTCAGGAATCATTCAACGTGCCACCAGTCGGAGTGTGTAAAACTGGAAAAGGAGGCAACTGTATGCGATGCGATTGTAATAAGCCACTCTCATGCTACAAAGGCACTTGTCGATAAGTACAAACTGTTGATCATCGAAATCAACTGATTATTGAGACAGAAGAGATTCTTGCAGATTCCTTCACGAAAATAAATATTTGCTCGGCAACAATAATTCTAAATGCTGAATCACAAAAAGCATCAGAGGTTCACTTAAAAAAGTTTCAAAACTTCAATTTTTGCTATATTTCGGCGCGTAGCATCTTTGTCAGGCCTGATATACACTGAGGAATGTTAGTGATTTAAGAACTTGGCGATAATGTCGAACCAGCGCTGGTCTGTTTAAAGCCACACGTCAGGACGAAGTTCTCATTAGAAGCCACTAATATGGCCTGGACCGCACCAGAAGGATGACGCCACGCTTCCTGAATCGAAATGGCGCGGCGACAAGGCCCTGGCCTACTACTTACAGCGATGCTTCGTTGCATCAGCTACCCGCCCACCGCGGGATGTGGTGCGTGGCTGGCATAACGTGTGAAATCAGCTAGGTTGATTGCCGTATCAACCGATGGAACGGCTGGCATATCCGGAAAACTCGTTTGGACGTGCCTCTCTCCCAAGCAGCCTCCTTCACTGCTAGTGGGAAAGGGTTTCGTTTTCGGCCTTGTCGACGGTTTCTTTTCGTTTTTTCTCCACTGTCCATTTCGCATCTCCATACTCAGTTTCAGTCGCCATATACCCCATATTGAGCCCGACTTTTGCCTTTAAGCTATGGTGGAAAAGCTTCCCTCACGAAGCCCGTGTCGTGAGGAAAGAGCTGGAAAGACACTACTGTGTAATGTCACTCTACTATCAGTAACTAGGAAGATTATTAGAGATTCAAATTCCCGCCGCAAATTGTTGAGTAGCTGGGGCAGGGAAGTGACACATGCAAAAATGTTGAAAGCTAAAACATGTAGGGGCTTCATGCTGGACTCCCCCAGATACTTATACGTGACTCTTCACCTCCCACGGACTTCGTCACAACATTCTCTTCGGGATTTCACTGTTTTCGCTCGGTTCCGCACATGATCTTCTGTGACCATGCGTAACATCTTTACACGAGGAAGGAATAAACAGCGACCCTGGGGAGGACTGGCCACGACAGAAGATGCCGTGATTGAAGCCAAGAGTATGGATCAGGTTCCAAGAGCTAGTCCCTCGTAGAGTAAGACCTTACATTGTGTGCTGCCGTGCTGCCATCCTTATAAACCGCGGCATACCCTCTCACGTACGACGTACTATCTCGCGTTCTCCCTCTCCTCGCAGCGCTGTGTCTCTCCGTCATACCACGGCCGGCCTCCTAAGGGAAATTCAGTATTTTTCTATGGTGCTTTTTGCTTTTTCTCCCACTAATGCTCCTCACTGCATTTCTTACCTAATGCTCAAGCGAAATAACATACTAACACGATCCCGACTCATGCCTTTAAGACGAACTGGCGACGTATAACAAGGACAGCGGAGCCTGCTATAAAGCGGGAATATTGCTAGGGTAGAGGAAAGGGAATATTGTGACCACAAA